GCGAAACTTAAAAATAATTTAAAATAAAACTCACCTGAGGATGTTAATCTGTTATCCGTACTAGTCGGGCGGAAAGATCGCAGACGGCCATACGACAAAGAGCAGGTCGAGCTTATCCACTTAGGTCTATTGGTTGAGGCCGTTCCATGAATCATTTGACTTAACAAGGCATTGTCAGTTCCAGGCACTGGCGGAAAACGAAGTAAGTATTCAGTGGTCGCTGGGGCATTAGAGTGGCCAGGGTGTGGATCAAATGCGGGTATTAAACCAGGTGGAAGAAGATCGGCCTGGGCATCAGGATCCCAGGAGAGCTTACGACCAGATGCAGAAAATGGATATGCAAGAGTCCCTATTGTGCCGGCCGTGATAACTGAGGACGATGGCGGGGGCTGAACTGTTCCGAGTCGACTTAGGCGAACAAAACGACGACGTGATTTCGGTAACTGCTCGGGAAAGCGACCAGTTCTTCTCGTTTCCAATATAGATTTTTCCACAGATATTGAAGACGAAGGTGCAAGTGAAGAAGGTGGTGACGCAATAGGATTGGTGGATGCACTTGATTTTGGCTCTACTTGAAGACTGGGAGAAGGATGCACTATGACGAAATCAGACTCCTTAGGCTTTGGCATCAAGCATGGATTGTCATTAGTATTTATATTTTGTGAAAGCATAGATGAATCAGGAGTGGGCTTTGAGGAATGGGAAGAGTATGAGGTAACATGAGAATAGCATGTCAGGGGCGGCAAGTGAGAAGAAGTTGAAATTTCGGATGTTGATGGATGAGATGGAGTTGAAATAATCTGTCTGGTTGATTCTAAAGAAGTAGATTCAAAAGTCTGTTCTGGAACCTCTTTGTTATAGTAAGTAGTCGATGGAGAAATCTGGATAAGGATAAAGAATGGAATAAAGAAAAATAAGGGTAACCATGGTGCATATAAAAGAATTAGTGAAATAAATAAACGACCCTGAAGTTGAACATAGGATAAGCAAATATCTAGAGAACTTGCTTGCGAGTAATATCAAAAATATCGACATTATAAATTTTAATCGAAGGTATGAAGACCAAGATGGTGTGGCCTTTTGTGTGGTCGCAGTCTCCTTT